GTCAGCTTTGCTTACCTTTTAGTCATTTGGATACCTCCCCATGTCAGTCTCTGTTTGACTGTCTTAGTGATGTCAAATCATGGATAACTAAACATGGATGACATAAATAACTTTCTAAATTTTAATGGTCAAAAAACGGAAGCAATTTTATTTGGCCCACATCGTTCTACTGATTCTCCAGATGTTGATTATGGTGTTTTGACCTCCCATCTGAGAGTTCAATCACAAATCCTGGTGTTAGATTTGATTTTGCACTTACCTTTGAGGGTCATGTAAATGGGGTGGTAAAATCAGCTTTTGATCACCTAAGATGCCTATTGAAGGTCAAGCCTTTCCTTTCCAAATGCAATTTGTAAAACTCTTATTCATGCTTGTATCACCTCACGTCTGGACCATTGTAATTCCCTTTTAATAGGTGTTGGGCACTTTGTCACACCTGCAATTAGTGCAAAATGCCGTGGCACGATTTTTAACCAGTAGTAGGAAATATAATCACATCACTCCGGGTCTGGCTTCTTTACATCGGCTTCCTATTGGATTTAGGATTTGTTTTAAAGTCCCTTTATTGGTTTTTAAATCTGTAAATGCTGTGGGAAACTGACACCTTACTTATTAATTTTACTATATTTTTAATTTTGCTAGTTGTTTGGTTTTGTCTTGTTCAGCACTTTGTTCTGACTGGTGTGTTTTTTAAAGTGCTATACAAATAAACGATTATGATGATCATGATAACCCATATATGAAAAAGATATGTATAAATCTTATAAAGTTTGTATCTGTCTTGTGTGAAACTTGTATGAAAAGCATACAAGAGTGAAAACAGATATAAGATCCCTTGAAAAATTATATAAATGAAACCTGTATGTTTTGGATACTTACTAAAACAATATATGAAAGTGGCCACTTTCATGAGTAAATCATATAAGCCTTATAGACGCTATCTCTACTTTTAACATTAGGCTTCAAACTTGAGCTTGAGCTAGTCCATGACGTTGAGAGGTACCGACTAGATATAGTCAGGCTCCTTGTCGTCGGTTTTTAACATGTCGGCCATCGTGACGTTACACTCTAGCATATGCTTCGATGTCATTTGAGACATCTTCATCAGTCAGTTTTGTAATTGGTCTTAGTGAGTGCAGTGTCAATTAGTCAGTGGATAGGTCTTCTCAGACATTGGATACAGCAGCAGCCACATAACATAATCTCTACAATAGACACTTTACAATAGAGTAGAGATTGGATTCCTTCCACTTCTTTTGCCATTTAGGCAGATGTTACACTGTGTTTGAATCCTTGCGACACATCAATTTAACATTGCCTATGAACTTATTTTCACTTTCCGTCTCTTGTTTTCTGTGGCAACAACTTAGTTTAATTAAATTAATTTATAGTTTTATTTCATAGTTTAATTTTATTTTTAGGGCTTAACAGATCTTTTCTTATGAATTTTATGTTTTAATCCTGCAGCTTTATTTTTAGTAGTTTATTTTATTGGCGATCTGCAAACAATATTTCATGAGTTGACCATGTTTTTAACTCTCATCTTTTGTCCACAACAGGCCAACCAAGATGGTGGGTTAACATGTCTTGCCTTTCATGACTTTGCACCTTTAGATTTCCAGAGACAGAAGAGTTTGAAAACCAAACCAAGTGTCTGTGGTGAAGTAAAAAGAAGAGTGGGAAAATAACGGTGATAGCAGATTGAGAGTGTTTATCACTATAGCTTCTCTCTTTCATTGTTTTTTGGTCTATTTCAACTTGCATGGGGCAGATCCATATCTCAAGGTGTAGGAGAAATACCAAATAAAAAATGGACAGAGACAAACAGAGATGCAAAGCTTTACTTTATCTTGCAAAAGCACTAATAGGGTACACGGTCTATGCAGAAATCTGAATTAGAGAAGTCTGTCCATCGCTCTTTGTACACTTACCCCCTCCCACTAGTAACACAACAAAAGGAACATAGAGAAACTAGTGGGAGAGAATGTTCTTGTGACATGTGTGTTATGTTTAGCTGGTTCATCGTACATGTAGCATAGCATATAGACTAGCATTACAGACTTGCTAAAAATCAGCTACTGCGTAACTCTTCTAGCATTTTTCCATCAAAAAGCTACAATTTTATTGAAAACTATACACATGCAATATACCAATACACAGACACAAACAAAGTTAGCAGAGAGGAAAGGTAGCATATGAGATGGAAAGACAGAGAAAAAATCATGAGTTGCCACGGTGAGGAGAGAGAAACCATGACAACTTTACATCTTTTGGATCTATACTTTTTTGCGCAGGACTATTAAAAAAAAATGTTTCCCTTTAAGAGCAGCATGGTGACACAGTAGTTAGCACTCTCAGTTTAAAAAAGGAAAATTTGGAAATGTAGAGTATGAGAAGAAAAGGCAGAGACGGTACATCCTGTGACAGACTGGCGACCTGTCCAGGGTGTACCCTGCCTCTCACCCTAAGACAGGGATAGGGCTTTGGAGTTGACATCACACCGCAATGCATTGTGGGAGTGTGGCACCATTTTAGCAGGCCACAAATCAAAACAAACACACTGTGTTGGAAGGAAGATTGCTACGAACCATACTTAAAAGCAGCTCAAAAGAAAAAGGACGTTATAGAGACAGATTGTGTCCGGATGCAAAGAGACGGTACTTGCAAAAAATAGCGTGCATTGGAAATGTGGACCCGTATGAAATAATGGCAGTGGAGTAGAAACCTTGAAGACCAACTGCTATTGACCTAGCCTGATATATTTTCGTACCTTGTCTGTGTAGAGAGAGTACACACCGCGAACCAATTTCGCAATTATAAATCTCTGGAGGGGCACATCCAGTTCACCAAGGATTGGGTACAAGATTTGGCTATTTATAAGCATCCACGTTGTGAATACGTCATCATTCAAGCAAAGGTAAGTCAGCTTGAGTACTGCGAGTAAAATGTGTTTGATTTCCCCCCCGAACAATCAGATTAGTCCAAGCATAAATTCATTCATGAGGGGGAAATTACAGTGAGAACATGTGGAGGCTCTGTGAGCTAGATAATATAGTGAGTTCAGTGCACTGATGTGACATTGTCCTAAAGGATTTAGTCATTCTCTATGGTTAAAGAAATTGCACTAATTAATTCATATTTATTATAAATGTTCCTAATTATACATCTTTTTTTCGTGCTTATGTTCTGTGTCACTAAAAAATACATTCGATTTTGGTTTTATACATTGATTAATGACCTGCAGAATCTCCTTATCATATTAAGTGAGTCCTAATTGTTACTTAAAGTCGAACTTTATGCTTTCTCCCTCTTGAAAGTGATTACATCCTTGCGTTACATACTTTAGGTTCACTTTTTGCAGGCGGGTTTCTGAAAAAGAACAGGCAGATTTGGAATATAACATGCAGCGTTCTATAGTCTCCCTCGATCTGGGGCTCCACGCAAGATCTCATCCCGTGGGGTCAAAATGATCATGAGAACGGTGAGCAAAGATCCCAGAACCACACGGGGGGACC